CGGGCCTTCAGAGGTGAGTGGGTGGGAGGCTCGACCGGGCCCTCCTATCTTTTAATTACGGAGGCTACATGGCTGCGGCCAGTGGGAGGAGGAGGTGGGAGGGTGAGAGGGGAGGAAGGTGCGGCTACCACCCCCTCCCCCGGCTGATATGCACTAGACAGAGGCGCTCCGGAGGGAGGAGCAGGGCGGGTCCCTTCCTTTAGTATGTAAACTGGCTTGCACCGCCCTGGCTGGGCGCGCGACCTGTCCTCCTCCTCGCCTCCCTCCAACCCCTCCTCTGGCAGGTGGCTGCAGGTGGCACACCCACCCACCCCTCCTGCTGTTCGGACCGCGAGCACACATGAGGGTGACCCCCCCACCCTCCTCTCTTCCCTTGGGTTGGCGGTCAGCACCATCTCCAGACCTGGTCGCATCGAAAAGTATTGCCTGGCCACAACGGTTATTATTAACTTATTAGCCGCTTTTTATTTTTTATTGAAATGTATACAGTATTCCGCTCAGACAGCGTTGTATGAAGTCGCATTTAGGGTGGGAAATTTCCAAAAATTTTCGGAAAATTTTCGGAAAATATCGAAAAACTTCCAAAGTCTGGGAAATTATCCTCTTTTTCCCGGAAATTTTCCGTTTTTAAGGGAGTTTTCCTGAAACTTTCCAGGGCTTTCAACAACCCCAGCGCATTGAGCTTCTCTTGACCGACACTGAGCGACGCCTCACCCTACGCCTACCGCCACCCCTGAGCCGCGGGTATTGTCGGCCGCGCCGTCATTGACCGCGTGATTATTTGCCCAAGTTTAGCATTGCGGGTCCCGATGATACGTTCGTGTGCTGTGCGGGGTATGGTAGTGTCGGCCTGTGGTTAGGCCGTGCGGGCGGGCTCCCTTATACCAACCACCACACGAGAGAGAGAGAGAGAGAGAGAGAGAGAGAGAGAGAGAGAGAGAGAGAGAGACATACCCGCTGTCGGAACGGTACAGTCATTTACATGCAAATGGAAGGTCCAGCAGTAAAGTGTTTGTGCGGCGAGGAGAGAATTAGACCCTGCTTGCTGCTGCTCTGGTGGGGCATCGGTATTCTTTCTCCAGGTCGCCGCGCACCCGTGTGTGTGTGTGTGTGCGTGTGTGTGTTTATTTTGTTTTTTTGTTGGTGGGAAACATTGCGGTGGGTCGGTGAGGAGACGAAGAAAGAACTTCATATAATTCCCGTGTTGGAGCAGCCGTAATAAAGGGTCGGGGGTTGGACCGGCCGGGTTGGGTCGGGGGTCGGCCCGGGGTTGGCCTCGGCCCTGACGGTCTTTGATGTGAGCAGGACACGGCTGACGGCAGACTCTCTCTGTGTTCCAGGTGCCGCAGAGCGCCGCCGCCACCGCCGCAGGCCGCCGGCGGCAGACATCGCCAGGTGAGTGAGGGGGAAACGGTTTTTAATATCAGCTGCACGGACTGGGCGCAAAGAGTGTGAGAGGGAGAGAGAGAGAGAGAGAGGGAGATGCCTTAGAGCGTCGCCGCCGTCCTGCCAGTCTGCCGCGCGGTTCTTGCGTAATTAACCTCTCTCTCTCTCTCTCTCTCTCTCTCTCTCTCTCTCTCTCTCTCTCTCTCCGCACAATTTAAGATTATGACCAGGTCTTGATAAGCTCTTTGCTATTATTACTTCCATTCTTTGCCCCACCCGGACCTTCGGCCCCTCTATAGGGCTCCTTCGGCCCGCTGCGGTGAAAGTAGGGCTATGACCGGCAGCTTCACGATACCGTCAATTATTGCTAACGAACCGCGCGAAAGCGATGATAATCATTTACAGAATGGAGATACAGTAACACTGTGTGTTTGATCGCGTAGAATCATTCATACGCCAATAGAGTCCGTGTAAAAAAACGTATTAGGGAGGAGGGAGGTAAATTATTATTATCTTTAACTTGATACTGCGCTGTTTTCGTTTGTCATGGCAGCAAGCAGATAATTTTCTTTAAATGCTCTCTGTTTGTTCTTTTTCTTTCCTCCTCGGCCCAGTACTCCGTTGGAGCGCGTTCTCTTGCCTTCTACGGTTTTCTCTTCTTATTATTTTTTCTTTCTTTCCGGAAATAACGGTCGGCACTTTCAGAGGGTATTAAAAGTCTCTTCGCGGTCGGTTGACCGACCCTGGACGCGGGGAGGTGGAGGTGGAGGGGGTGGATTTGGGGGGCACGACAACGCTGCGGGGGGATGAGGGTAGCAGGAGAAGGGCAAGGTGTGTGCTCCACCGAGCCCCCGCGGGTACGCGCGCCAGGACTGGGAATGGAGGAATTAGGAAAATTAACAGCACTCCAACAACAACAACAACAACAACAAGCAAGTCTGGATGCTCGCGGGCGCTGCGTAGTAGCCGCTCGGCGCGCGGCGGGTTCCTCCTGGCCAGTCAGATGAAGAGAAATGGTTTCGCGTCGCCCGTTATTTAATGTGCAACAAGTTCCCTCACGGCCCGGGCTGGCTCGTGCGGGAGGGACGAGGACGACTCGCCAATTTTAAACCCCCTTCTTCCTCACCCTCCCTGCCCCCTTCTCCTACTGGGCGACCGAACACGCTTGCAACCCCTCCGGAAATTTATTCATCTTCTTCGTAGTCTTAAATGCCCTAAGACTAATGTTTCTAAGAAGGCATTTACTTGCACAATTTTCGGGGGAAAAAATAGCCACAGAACATGCTTCTAAACCTCTGTTCAACCCTCTGTTGAAATGTTGAGGAGTGCTAAAGATTGAATCGTCGAAAAATGTTTTTTTGGCAGTAGGTTTTTATCAATCATTGGTTTGACTTTTCGCAAGTCGTCGTAAGTAGTTTTTCACGGCACACTGTTGAATTCTTGCAAAGAACTGCTTTCCAATCGCTTTATGTTCGTATGATTTGTAGACTGCGGTGCGGAGATTAATTGCTTTGGAATTAGAAAGCAGTACTTCGCAGTTGCGAAGCACTGCTTTTCAACTGAGAAGTTATTGCTTTTTAAATACGAAGAATTCGTTTCTCTTTCGCAGCTCTACAAAGCAAAGACTTTGCAAGGTCTTTTAACAGTGAGGGCAGGCCTATCTTCTCTATTTTTCTCTTTTTTTCCTCTCTTCCTCGGGAAGGCATTAAGTCAGACGATGTCATGAATCCCTTGGCAGGCCCAGGACGGGCCGCCGGTGCGCTTAGGTTGGCGTCTTTGCGCCTCGTCGCCACCTCCTCCTCCGCCAAGACCCCCTCGAGGCGCTTATTAAAGGCTCCCGCTCCCGCCCTCCTTATATAATCTCTTCTGTTTTGTTTATGCTGGCGAGTCCGTGCCTCCGGCCCCTCCCTCCCCCATACTGAATTATTTTCGACCATTTTCTCGTTGATTGTGTCGTGGATAGGCTGCCGCCGAGTGTCATCTCGCAGCAGCATAATTTCGTTTCCACAGCGCACAGGAGGCCCTGTCCGGCCATACCGGTGGCTGTATGAAATGCGACGCGTTTCTGTATTATTGCGTAACGTCAAAAGTAGGTGCAAAACTAAACTGGGTTCTTTTTTGCATGGAGTGTGATGTCAGTTTGTGATTTAAATTTACGACGATAAAGCAGCTGCTCAAACTACGGAAAGATGTAACATGTAACACGTAAAGCTTCATCATGAAAGTTTTATAACTATTTTTAAAATATCATTCAACAAAAACACGTGCTGATGCTGGCAAAGAATCCATGATGGTACGGTTGTAATAAAATGAAAGGTTAACCATAATATTCTTTTGTGGTTGTACAATTTTCTTAAAGTGGTGCGCAGGGGTGGGCGCGGTTGTCTGCTGGGAGCCGGCCGGCTGGGCTGGGGGAAATTTTCCCGTTTCGATTATACCCACACTGTGTTTGGGGTATGTGAACCGAGGAGAGGACACCCCCGCCCAGCCTCCGAGCGGAGATTTGCGGCGGAGGGTTGCTTGTTCACCTGAGCCTGACGAGAAGGCACAGCGGTGGCGGTGACGGCGAACTTGCCCGGCGACTCGCGGCGACGACACGGCATGTCGGAACGAAATTAGAATTCCTTGCAAGGTGGTGGTGGGCGGAGCAGTGGTGGGCGGAGGAGCAGGCTGGCAGGCGCGCGGCCTTGCCGCCGCCGCCGCCGCCGCCCTGGAGTTCCTCTCCGGTTTATCATGACGAATTCCAAACATCCTTTCGTGCGCGACGCTCAGTGGCCCGAGGAAGACCCCTGCTGCTGCTGCCGTCTGTCTACCCTCCTGGACGACTGGACGCGTCTCCAGAGAAAGTGTCCAGGAAACTCTGCTGAACGTCTGCAGGGGGCTCCAGCAGAAGGCAGCAGGTGGCTCCATAGTCCGGCCTCCGAGCTTACGTGACCTTCATCACCTGTCGAGGCCCTTCCCATTCAACTATGCCACCTGGTGTCCGATACGACACCTACCACTTGTTCAATACCACGACTGGGTCTTGAAAGGAACTTATTTTTTACCGTGTTCACCATCATTACAGTACACCTTCGTTCCAGGCTGTGGCGTATGACGAACGGTTTGGTGGCTACTGCAAAAACACATAGGGAAACATTGGCGTTCTTTGAAGCACGCCAACCACAGTTAACAGTGTGGGGTGTAAAAGGGCCAGAGTTGGGGGGGAGAGGGGCACTGATTCCAGTGACTCCAGCGAACCGTTCATATCCCTGAAAGTTGCCTTCATACCCTTGACTCCGAGCAGCCCGCGCAGTTCACTCCCACGCCGCGATACGCCAATAGCGCCCTTCCCCACGCCTCTCAGAGATACGCATTCCTCTGCTTGTAGTCGCGCTCCCCCACTCTCTCCCCCTCTCCCTCTCCCTCTCCCTCCCTCTCCCTCCCTCTCCCTCTCCCTCTCTCTACCCCTCCTACCCCTCCCACGTCTTTCTCCATTATTGTGCCAAGTGTTTTTTTTTGTCGTATTTTCATATCGCAGCCCCTTGTGGGGCTCTTGTTACGGCGGCGCCCTCCATTCTCTCTCTCTTCTCTCTCTCTTCTCTCTCTCTTCTCTCTCTCTCTCTCTCTCTCTCTCTCTCTCTCTCTCTCTCTCTCTCTGTCTCTCTCTCTCTCTCTCTCTCTCTCTCTCTCTCTCTCTCTCTCTCTCTCTGTGTCTCTCTTTCTGTCTATTGTCTCTTTGCTGTGCGAAAGGGGAGAGTAGTAGAGGGGGATCCGGTGTAGAGGAGGAAGGGAGGGACGGGTTCAGAGTGGAAGGGGGGCGGGGGATCAAGGAGGAAGGCAGAGAGAGAGAGGGAGTGAGTGGAGGGGTGCGGATCAGGAGGTAAAGAGTCGGTAAGGGAAGACGTCGGCGCGACGCCTCGTCTCGCTGCGGCTCCCCTCAAGAGCGAGCTCGCGCGACCTTGTTTGTCGGCTCCACACTTCTACTTGGAGTGAGAAGGACGACGGTGCGGGACTGAAGCGACTGAAGGTTATACGCCGTTAAGCCCGACAATTATGTTCCTTATGAAAGGCCTTGATACGGTGTGTATGGACATTTTTGTGAGCCGTTTTGTCCACATTGGTCGTCTAACAAAAAATACTTGTAAGCGTTATAGGGAAAATTTCCATGATGTGTTGTTATAAAACTTCAATTGAATATAGTAAAACTACAATAGTACTAAAGTATCAACTAAAAATTCATTGATGAGCAGATCAAGAATGAGCTGTCGTAAATTTACACCATATTTTGTAGATCGTAAACATAAAATTTTCTGTGATTTTGCGAAGATATTTTTCGCAGTTAGAAGTATATTTGTCTAATTCCGCGTATGCGCAACATGGAAAATGTGCGATTTCGGGCACCCGGTGCCGATGTTAGCTCGTGCGATTATGTGTCCTGCGCGTCGCTTTTGAGTGCCCGACATGTTGACTGACGTGTGATCTCTGCTCGCGGGATTTGACGCCTCCGACACACGGAGCTGCTGGCCCCAGGTTTCCTCGTAGGGGAAGCTGTGCGACGTGACCTGAGCCCCTCGGCCCCTTGACTCCCGTCAGGCGCTGGCGTTTAATGTGTTGAAAATTTGATGATGCCTCGGGTCTCCTCCTGCGCGGCAACTAGTCTTGATAAGAGTTTTGTTTTTTCAAAAAAGTACTTCTGGAAATTTTTTGAAGACTAAATGAAAAAAAACAACTCTTAGCTTTGCCCTTAAAAAAATCTTTTCATTTTTTTTTTTTAAATATAAATAGTTACCCTATATTTGTTCGGTTTGTTTTCATCTTCCGAAAAAAATTAATCCTTTTATGAACAACGACGATGTTATTGAGGTGCGTTTTAAAATGACGAATGTACCGTGATTGTTGTATCTCCAAGCACACACGTGTTCGTCAATTTCATTAGTGGGCAAAAGGAGAGAAGCTGGGCGCAGACAGGTGTTCAGAGGTGACATGTTGGCCCCGTCCCGCCCGCTCTGCCCTCGGGGCGGGGCCCG